CATAAATTTGCTCTACAAATGGTTTTCTTGAATTTGTGAGTGCTTTTCCGATGGATCTCGAAGGTGGGGCTTTTCGAAATCAAATAAAGGTGAGTTCTTTACATCATATTTCCTTTATTTTTATGTAAAAATGCTACCTTTTTTTACCCTTTTTGGTCTTCTAAAGTGTATCTATTTGGGGGGTTTATATTTTTACAGAAAGAATCTTGGAGAACAGTACTTACATTGGCCTACCAAAGCTTAGGAGTTGTGTATGGGGATTTGAGTATCTCACCATTGTATGTATATCAAGTTACATTTTCTGAGGACATTGTGCACTCTGAGACCAATGAAGAAATCTATGGGGTCTTATCACTTGTGTTCTGGACATTAACTTTGCTGCCTCTTTTGAAATATGTGTTTATTGTGCTGAGAGCTGATGATAATGGTGAAGGAGGCACATTTGCTCTGTATTCACTCTTATGTAGACATGCCAAAGTGAATTTGTTGCCCAGCAGCCAATCGGCTGATGAGGATTTGTCGAATTACAAGAAGGATGTCACGAGCCCCGAGCCCTCGAGTTTCGGGGCAAGGTTGAAATCTATTTTGGAGAAGTACAGTGTTTTGCAAAGGATATTGCTTTTGTTAGCTCTGCTTGGGGCTTGTATGGTGATTGGGGATGGTATATTGACCCCTGCAATTTCAGGTATTTGCGAAAAAAAAAGGTTGCTCTTTCGCGTTGTTGTTCGGTGAAATTCGGATTAATTTTTGTTTGATTTCTATTAGTTAGTTTAATCTTTGTGGGCATAATCTTTTTTTTTTTCATCTTTTCCTTTCTGGTTTTTTCTTGGCAGTTTTTTCTGCTGTTTCTGGTGTGGAATTAGCTGCAGAGAAAGAACATCATAAGTGTAAGATTGTTTTTCGGCTGTTCGTTATATATATATATATATATATATATATATATATATGTATATTTTTATGTTAGGGACTGAAGAAATTATTGAAGTGCTGTTTTAAGATTGAGTGAAGATTGCATTAATCCTGAAAATTAATTTTAGTTATGATATATTATGTCCTTTTAAGATGTCCCCAAGTGCATATGTTCCGTTAGAATAAAATGTGAACTGCATGATTATCTGAACTATAACAAACTAACAGCCATCACAATATGAGGAACGTGCCTTTTGAAATTGTCATAAATCATTAATTTTTTTTCTTTTGATGCAATGAAGATACTATAATGCAATTCATTAGGATTATCAATATTTTCATTCTTCATGGGGTTATCGTTAGTTTGTTACATATCTGCAGAAAGCTCCGAAATCGACACAAATCATTGAGAACACATCTTACAGTTAATTGCTTATTTATGTATATTTGCTTATTTATTATGATCCTGCAGATATAGAAGTGCCAGTGGCTTGCTTGATACTGATTGCCTTATTTGCACTTCAGCATTACGGGACCCACAGGGTTGGGTTCTTGTTCGCGCCAGTTGTGATAATGTGGCTCGTTTGCATTTCTTCGATTGGCATGTATAATATTCTACACTGGAACCCGCACGTGTATAAAGCTCTATCACCATATTACATTTATAGATTCCTCAAGAAAACCGAACGAGAAGGTTGGATGTCATTAGGAGGAATTTTGCTGTGTATAACAGGCAAGCGAAAACACTTCATTCTTTTTCTTTTTTTTTTTTTAATATTCTTTTACTGTTTTACATGACAGTTAATCGTGTTTTTTTTAATTACAATTTCAGGTTCAGAAGCAATGTTTGCTGATCTTGGCCACTTCTCCCACAAATCGATAAAGGTTCGACACTTTTTCTTTTTCCCTTTTTTTTCCTGGTTTTTGAGCATGTTTATTGATTAATAATAAGGCTTTTGTTCTTTTTGATAAGCCCATCTTCGTTATGTTTATATGCTTTTTTAACACATCCTGTGTATATGTAGATAGCCTTCACGTCTTTCGTTTATCCATCGCTAGTCCTCGCTTATATGGGCCAAGCTGCTTACCTTTCTCAGCATCATGATTTTCAGAAAAGCTATCGAGTCGGGTTTTATATCTCTGTACCCGGTAAATCCATATTTGACTCAAGTGAATCTCTTTTCAACTAAAAAATCGGCTAGATATTCATGAAAAAAATATATTCTTTTTGTTTTAGAGAAATTGAGATGGCCCGTTTTGGTAATTGCGGTTCTTGCTGCGGTTATTGGTAGCCAAGCCATTATCACGGGAACTTTTTCGATCATAAAGCAATGCTCGGCTCTGGGTTGTTTCCCTAGGGTCAAAATCGTCCACACGTCCTCCGAAATTCACGGGCAGATTTACATACCCGAAATCAACTGGATTTTGATGGTCCTATGCTTAGCTGTCACGCTTGGTTTTCGAGACACGAGACGTATGGGCAATGCCTCGGGTCTCGCGGTTATTACAGTTATGCTCGTCACGACGTGCTTGATGTCGCTCGTGATGGTGCTGTGTTGGCACCGGACTGTGCTCGTGGCGCTCTTGTTCGTCGTGTTTTTCGGGGCGATCGAGGCGTTGTATTTCGCGGCCTCGTTTATCAAGTTTCTCGAGGGGGCGTGGGTCCCGATCGCACTCTCATTCGTGTTCGTGACGGTGATGCTCGTGTGGCACTATGGGACGGTCAAAGCGTACGAGTTTGACCTTCAGAACAAAGTCTCGGTCGATTGGCTACTCGGGTTGGGCCCCGAATTGGGCATCGTGCGGGTCCCGGGCATCGGCCTTATCCACACCGAGCTCGTCTCGGGAATCCCTGCGATTTTTAGCCATTTTGTCACCAATCTCCCGGCCTTCCACCAGGTTTTTCATTTTTTAACGAAATTATATTTCCCTCACAGTTTCAAGTTTTTGTATTGGGTATGTTTGGTAAATGTAAATGATAAGACGTTTGGTGCTTACGAAACTCACACTACTACACTGATTTC